CAGTTTCTTGTACTCCATTAGAGGTAGGTTTAACAAGTTTACTTCTAGTATATACAGTTTCTTGTACTCCATTAGAGGTAGGTTTAACAAGTTTACTTCTAGTATATCAGTTTCTTGTAATCCATTAGAGCTCCTCTAATTCTTCCCCCGCCCCTTGTATTGCTTGTAGAATATATGATGTAACCACTCCGCCCCTTTTATTATAGAACCGAGGGAAAACTCCGCCCCAAAGGGGGTTTGCTACGCCCCCAAGTGTGTCGGAAAAATTGTTTCTATTACAAGTTTAATCCCGTGTGTCATCGTAAAATTTTTCACAGGAATTAATTTGGATAGATATTAAATGTCACTCTGTACATTGTACAGTAAAACTTTTGTACCATACTGTACGTACAGTGCCATTAATTTAACCCACTGTACAGTTATGTACTGTACTGTATGTGCAGTGACAAAACTGTATCCAACTGTAAAGTGCCACTTCGGTATCCTATTTACGATGACACTACTGTACGTTCATTGTACGGTAGATAGCAGGGTAAAGTGAAACAAGATTTTTCAATTCATTGTTCGCTTTCATGCGAAAATCTGATTCAGAAACATTTGAGACTGGAGAGGCCTTTTTTACTGAAAAAAAAATAGACAAAGAAGCAGGCAAACAGACAAGCAAAGTATATATATATAGAAGAAATTCAGTTCAATCTAATCCATGTCCATGTATCATCGTCCCATTTTTCATTCGATTAAAAGAATATTTATAGTTTTTTCCATGGTAGGGGCTCATCCCCNNNNCCCTCACATGTTTACGCCATATTATGACCTCATGACTCCAATTAACACAACAATATTGAATTCCAGATCATGAATAAAAAAACACTCAAGTACTTTACAATGAAATTTAAGCCACTAATGCACTAATGTAGTAGAATATGTATTGCTAGTGCTCTAAGCCCTACCTGGAGCCTAGTTCCTCCTGGAACATGGAACAATGTGAAATATGATTTTTCCTCGTAAACTCTCCCTCTAGTCAAAACATCCAGGTAAACAAAATAATATCCAAATTTTTTTAAAGATATTTTTTGTTTCGTTATAACTTTTTTTAGAACAGATGGGGTTGAGGAAAATATTGAACTCCTCATTTTTGGTTTTCTTTCTAGTAAATACAGTTTCTTGTACTCCATTAGAGGTAGGTTTAACAAGTTTACTTCTAGTATATACAGTTTCTTGTACTCCATTAGAGGTAGGTTTAACAAGTTTACTTCTAGTATATACAGTTTCTTGTACTCCATTAGAGGTAGGTTTAACAAGTTTACTTCTAGTATATACAGTTTCTTGTACTCCATTAGAGGTAGGTTTAAGCAAGTTTACTTCTAGTATATACAGTTTCTTGTACTCCATTAGAGGTAGGTTTAAGCAAGTTTACTTCTAGTATATACAGTTTCTTGTACTCAATTAGAGGTAGGTTAAACAAGTTTATTTTACTAAAGGGACTGTAAGCAAGATTTCAAGTGACCCTCCATGCAAAGATGTCAATGCCCGATTTACAACGGTACTGTGGAATATAACGTCGTGTTTTTATATCATATTGTAATGTTGTAAATTGAAATGCATATATGATTTTAAGCACAAGCATGTTTATGAAGTCCCATGATTTAAGAATGCAGTTTTTAATATGCTATACTAACTGTGATACTCATAAAACTCAGGAAGACGACTTTTGAACTTAAATCATGATTTTAAAAAGTCCAATAAACATAAGTTACAATAATTGTGCAGTATACAAAGACCCATTTTACTTAGATATTTAAGCTACCGGTAAAACTATTTGCTTTTTAACAACATCAAAACATCTAAACATATAAGAGTTAATTAAAGTCGTATTCCTATTTTACACCTTAATGGGTACCACTGTAAAAATCTAAGATTATTGTAGAAGGAAGAGAACCAAAAAATTTGGTGTATCTTTTTAGTCTTATGGCCGGCGGGGGAAAAAAATTATACCAATGAATAACTTGAATAAATCAAAATCTAAATAAAATTTTTAGTAAATTCATAAATTCATCTTTTCTATTGTAGAATGTAAATTTCACCAGTCAGCTGAATGCTAGTATGCAGAATGGTAGCAATGAGTATTATGACCAAACTGAATTAAATCAAGGTCAGACATTTTTTTAAATTCGAATTAGGCGGATTTTTTTTTTATTTTTCATTTTGAAGATTTGTTTAGGTTTAAAGATTGTAAATATTGACGGAAATGTGGAAGAATTTATAAATCTGGTTGAAATTCAAGAAATTGTCGAACTCACGTCTCCAAACCCAATTTCTTTCATTAATAACTCCATCAGTAGTATAGGTATGTATTTACAGTGTTACCCACAAAGGAAAAGACTGTACAGATATTATTCAGTCTTATTTTTTGACATTCAAGATACCCGACATGTCTAAACCATAGATAAAGATAGATTGCGCATGAGATGACATTTTTCATCTTGAAAGATATAAATGTACAGAGATACAGGGTGTCCCACAAAACATGACTGTTGGTGAATAGCTTAAAATGTCTTTATTTATTATTTGTTCAGTTGTTTGATACCAAAGATCACTGAAAATATTATATGGGAGTCATGTTATATTAAAATTGATTTCAAAGTAAAGTATAATTAGGCAAAGATTTGTTTAACTAAAAATAACTATTTCTTAAATGTTATGTTTCGTGGGACACCCTGTATTTTAAAGATATTCCTATTATATAGATTAACTAGGTCGGTTGTGAACATTGGCTGTTCTTATATCATTGAGTACTTGTGGTGTACATGAGTTCTGTAGAGAGAAATTTAAGTTAGTTTAGTCCTTCTCATGTCCTTCTTCAGTTCTCGTCAATATGATATATTGCTCAGTGAAATAATTTGATATTCTCAAAATAAAATTCACTCCCGAAATCCATTAAAACACTAAACCACCCTGCTTAAAATAAAATTCACTCCCGAAATCTATTTAAACACCAAACCACCCCGCTTATCATTGAAGTACACTTTGACCCCTAGAAGTATGAGTTGGCGGACTGTACAATTCTTGGTGATTTTGCGTACATATGTTTATTTACTTATCTATGGTCTAAACATTTGAATATTCTTTGCTCGACCATTTAATTATATTAAACCATCAGATATTTATATCTAATGAGTTTTAGGTCTTCATTAAAGTTTTATCCTTTGAAGGTTACCCTGTTTGTTATGTGTGTGCTAATATGTTAAGGAAATGAAAATATTTTTGTTTCGTCAAGAATGCTATTTGAATGAAAAATTAGAAAACTTTTGACTATATAACGATCTATTGATCTTTTACCATAAACATATTTTAACTTTAACGATCTATTGGGTCTTTTACCATAAACATATTTTGACTAATTACTTGTAAATGCACAATGAATATATTCTTAGTTGAGTTTTCAATATGTATACTTTGTTTCAACAAATACGATCAAAACAAAATGATCAAACATTATATTTTTAATGGGCTCATAATAAATTTTCTTTTGTGTTTTATTTTAAGCTGAACCATCATGCATTATTATTTTGTATTTTGTGGTTGAAAATAAATACTATATATAAAACGATCTATTGATCATTTTAACATAAACATATTTTGACTATATAACGATCTATTGATCTTTTACAATAAACATATTTTGACTATAAAGATCTATTGATCTTTTACCGTAAACATATTTTGGCTCTAACGATCTATTGATCTTTTACCATAAACATATTTTGACTGTATAACGATCTATTGATCTTTTACTATAAACATATTTTGAATATAACGATCTATTGATCTTTTACCATAAACATATTAAATAAAAACATTAGCATTTTCCATCATTCCCTGTAAGCGTAATAATTTTGACTTGCAGTTATTTTGTAAAAATATATTATACAAATAGCCCGCTAGATGGCTCTAGGGTCGGCACTCCAAAACTTTTCTTCTCATCACCTGGTATGTGGCGGCGCCCAGCGGAGAACATTATATTTCTCAAACAAGAATATACCTAAGTACGTATAAGATTTAAAATTGTCTTTTTTTGAGTTTTTCGGTTGTTTCCCATATACGTCGAAAAACGGCTAAACCGAATGTGTCCAAAGGGGGTGGGGTGCACCCCTATTTAGCTGCATATTGCTCTGCACATTGAACATACATATAACTAGGATTCATCAAATATATATATAAACTTTACACAAAATAAAAAGGTTATATATAAGTGCATCGGTCTATTTCCTCACAAACCATTCAATTACTCATAAAATCACGTTTAAAAAGTAAAATAGATAAACTTATAAGAAAATCTAAATGTAAACATAAGATCAAATTTCATAATAATTTGAATTGTTTTAAATCAAATTTAAGCCTTTTGATACCTTTAAAACATTTTGTCCATGTTTAATATTTTAAAAATCATAATTTTATCTTATCTTGTTGCAACATGCTCACATATGCCCATGCAAAACTATTTCGCAAAACTGTGTCAAATATAACCAGCATCGCAAATACCTGGATTGCATGCCAACCATGCAAATTACAACATTTTGCGGATTTTCTTCTGAAAATAGGAGATTCTGAAATACAAGCAAATTATATATTAGAAATAAAACCAGTAGTGAGGAGGGGGGGGGGGTCAAATTGATCCCCCCCCAGCGTATCCTGGTTTTCAAGTACCCCAGCGGGGATAGGGTTAACCACTTATTGTTAACAACATGTACAGTTGCCTTAGAAGTCTTATTTTGTGTTGGTAATACTATGTAAATAGGAAATTTAAAACATCAAAAAAGAATGGCACTTTTTATTAAAAAATAAATAGAATAGGATTATTCATTGGTGAAAGCTTTGTGTAATTTTTGGATTAAAAAACATTCTAACTATGTGATGGTTAAAAATTGAACAGCTTCAGACCAATACTTTTTGAAGAATATCAACGAATCCTAATTTAAGTTAAAAGAAAACAGATGACGACGATATTTCCACTGTTGTCTGGCTCTCACTGTAATCTTCATTAAATATTAACGGAGGGAATCGTACGAGACAATTTAACTAATATTCCTAAATTTAAAAAAAAATCTTTTTCTTCAGCGGATCAAGTTCAGCAGTTAAGCTCTAACAGTACAACAGCTGCGGGTAAAGATGGGCATCTTTATTATTCCTTTTTAAATATTTAGTATTTTTCAGTAGACTCTACAAACATTTAAGAAGTTTAACACATTTCCAAATTTTATTCTCTAAAAGTTTGCTTCTTTTACGCTATGCAAAATCTTGACTCTGTCCAATCCTCGAATATACAACGATACCCATCTTTAGCTACAGGTCAACCTCAACCAACCACCCTGAACCCTGCAGCTCTAGTTCCTCAAGCAGTTATAGAAGAGGTTGGAGTAGGCACAATCCAAACCTATATCCCGGATCCGGGTCATATATCCGGATTTAACCGGATATCTAATCTCAAATCTAACTCTGATGTTTCATCTCCGGATGTGTTGATCCCGTTAACATCTCCAGGAAAATCCTCAACCTTGGAGAAATCCTCAAATTCAACCTTTAGTATTCATACCAACGATCTGTTCACTAAACTAAAACTGGAAGACGATCAGGGATCTAGCTCCAGCGATCAATTTGAAATTTTGGAAATCAACCCATATTTACCTCATCCCAAAAAACAGTATCGACACTAATTATATCCAAATTTAATATAATTAATAAATTTTGCAATCCTTGTTTTATGTTGCTGAAAAAAAAGATTTGAAAGAGAAAAAAGCCCAATCCTATATTTTTACCCGACCTGTAATCCGCATATAGTTTGGTTTGGATGTTTGTTCCAAAATACGGTCAAATTAATCGACCCAACACTTTATAGTAAATTGGGGAAGGTTTGGAGCCGGTAAAATTTATAAAAATGCCTCCATATTTTTTTAAAACTTCTTTAAAAATACAAGAAAATTTGCGAAATATTTTAGTTTTGTAACCTCCGAAACAAAATATAGCGACAAAGCATGAGACATTTTAAATCTAAAATTATTACAAGGAAGAAGAGAGCAATAAACTGCTTTTTCGTCTAAAAGTCTCATATTTTGTGGATTACTCTGTATAATATACCAAACCGGTGAAAAAAGCTCATAAACATCTAAAAGACATTCACAGAGTCTGAAGTCATAAAATCGGGATTTTAAAAATACTTTTTTCTAGAACATTTAAAAATTCGATTAAAAACATAAACTTGAAGTCAGAACTGGATACAGAGATAATATTCTCAATTTTATTTTGTAAACCCTGGTTAGTAAGCTTCTAGTGATATATTAGGTTTAAGGTTTCAGTTTTTCACCTTCTGCTGTTCAGTAGAACAGAAATATAAAATGGCGCATCTTGTTTTGGTTTCCTGCTTACTCGTGTGTCTGGCCAGCTTGACTTCTGCAATGCCAGCAGAAACAAAACAGGTCGGTTTGGATCCAATCTTACATTTAATTCATTTTTGGTTTTAAGAGAATCCAAAATAAAGTTTTTGAACAGATAAATTCATTTATACAATGGGTTTAAAAAAAACTCTAGAATAGGAATTAACTGCTGCTAGACTTTAGATATAATTTGAAATAGTCCACTAAGAGTAAAACACAGAAATTGTGCAGTTTGTATATTCCCATTTAGGTAAATAAATTGATTTTAATGCTACTGGTTCATCTTTTTTCTTTTTAACAAAATCAAATACACAAATATTTCAAATGTCGTCATCCTATTCCATATTTTTCTTGATCCAACTTTTGCTAATCCAAATGTTTCTTTGACAGATAAAAAGCTAAACTAATTTTAAAAGAAGGTTAAAGTAAAATTTGTTTCAATCAGTTTTTTTTTTCATATTCAGTGTCAGAATTTGCGTTTTCAAGCCAATTGATTATAAATGGTATAAAATAATTTAATGAAAGGCTAAAGCGTTACAACATAATTTAAAGTCAGACCAGGCCTGAAAATTGATGCTACTTTTCTGAGCTGTCCGGATCTTTTATCTATCTATCTAGAATATACATATCTATCTGTCTATCTATCTATCTATATATCTATCTATATATATATATATATATATACATATATCTAAATATCTATCTAGAATGTGCCAGGAGGTGATGGTAAAATGAATATATATATATACATATATCTAAATATCTATCTAGAATGTGCCAGGAGGTGATGGTAAAATGAATATATATATATCTATCTAAATATCTATCTAGAATGTGCCAGGAGGTGATGGTAAAATGAATATATATATATATCTAAATATCTATCTAGAATGTGCCAAGAGGTGATGGTAAAATGAATATATATATCTATCTGTCTATCTATCTATCTAGAATGTGCCAGGAGGTGATGGTAAAATGAAGATGGAAATAAACATCAAGGATTTAGGAACTTGATATTTGCCAATTTTTTTCCCATCTCACAACTTCCGGTTTCCAATCTTTGCAAAGATTTATTTTTCAACATTTTTGTTTTCTGGAAACTATCAGAGTTTTGTGGAGGGTAGAGAAGAAAGACGACCTTAGTGTAGGAGCAGCTGCTATGGGTATGGTGCACGAAGCAGTAAGTTTGTTTTAAATAGAACGTTTATTACACTGCAATGCAGGTCATATTTAATTACGAGTTTATTGGTGCAATTATTATATATGCTCTTTAAAAACTTAGTAAACTAATTGGGGATTTTTCCTCATTTTTGACAGATTTCATGATTTCTATAATTAAAATAGTATATTTTAACATTGTTTAAGATAAATTTTAAAACGTGTTTTTTATTTAATGCATGGTTTTATAAAGTTCATGTTCTTTGACTTAAACGTTTTTTAAAGTTTAATGATAAAGCCAATTTTACGAAGAACATTTGTTTTTTATTTAAGACTTTTTCATGGTTTTATAGAGTTCATGCTCATTGAGTTGACAAGATAAATTTATTCAAAGTTTGTTAATTATAATTGTAGATGGAGTCCAAGGGTCCAGGTGAAACCCAAGTGAATGCTATTTCCGGATTCGGCCATGAAGTCATGAGTAAGTTATGAGACATTTTTAAACATTAAATCAAAAATTGCAGATTTAATTTTCTCTTTTTTGTAGGTTTGATTAGCAATCTGGACGCAGAGCCATGAGCAATGATGTAATATTTTTCTTTAAAATATTTTGAAATAAAGTCACGGAAATGTTGTTTACTTGCATGGATGAGAGTCCATCTTCCCGCCTGACTTGGTTTTAAAAGAAATCTTTAGATTTATCAGAGATCTTGTTTTCTTCACTCAGCGCCATCTTGTGATAGGAATCAGCTGCAACATTTCCCGCATTTCGGCGAGCACGGCCATCTTGGATTTTGATAAGATTATTGCGGGGAAAACAGAAATGTTAATGTGACATGATATTATCTTAGGTCAGAATCAGTTAATGCACTTCGTTTCGGAGATTTAAAGCGTAAACTGTTAAATCATATCTATCAGTTATAAGATGAAAGGTTTTACATTGATTTTCTAAATATCCAAGAAGTTTTAATTTCAAGCAGATTTTTACATGTTTGTACAAATGTATATGCTTAAAAGATAATTACAGGAATGTATATTTTGCCAACCATACACCCCACTATAGTTTCAGTAGAAGTAAATAATTCCATTTACTGTTAGCGCCGATTAAAGGATTCATATCTCTAATAGGGCTGATGCGCGCAAAATAAAGTTTGTG